CCCACAGGGGTGAGGCCCAGACGCAGATTTCCAGCTGTGTGCGATGTTCAGGAGGACAGATCCCATTCTGCCTGCTTGGGACCCTGACCTCGTGTGAGCCATCCTCTAAACTCCAAACAAAAGGGTGATTCAATAAGGTTCCTATGCCAGGGCCTACTAGGGGGGATGTACGGAGTTCAGACTGTAGCTCATGTTCAACCAGCCTCCAAGGTGCATGGGCTTCGCGCTGAGGCCTCGCGCCTCGGAAGGCTGATAGTGGAGTGGGTGCCTTTGGAAACCATGAGCTTCCTGCAGATCCTTCTGACTTCCTGGCCATAGTCAGACTAAGTCCCACGCATGTGGACCGCCTCCACTGCTTTGCCTCTGAGGCAACAATGTCAGAGCTTCCTGGAAACTAGGGTCCCGCTATATACCCCTACACATGGTTTAGTCCCGGTTACAAGAGCCACCAAAAATTGGACCGTCTCGGCGCGGGCTCATGCAGAGCCTGGCCATGCAAGCCCATCTTCTGCTCAATTCGGGGTTCTCCAACAATTAGGAGTCCCTTTTCTGGGGGCTCCAGAGCACCACGACTTGGGAAATTCAATCTCTCTGAAGAGGCCGCCGCGTATGGATCCCGTCGCCCTGCAGACTTTGACTTCAGCTTGCAACTCTGCAGAGTCGTATGGGGGTCGAGGATGTGAGTGTTTGTTGCTACTCTTGCGTTTGTAGGATCAGTCAGTCCTTTGTTGGCTCTTGCTGCGATAGGCCTGGCGCAGCGTGCATGCGAAGACTGCCAGCGGTCTTGCGGTCGCGCAAGGGCCGCCAGGGTGTGTTGCGTTCTTGCCTGGCCCTGTCAACATGCAGCAGTTCTACCCCGAGTCGCCCTGCCCCGCATAGCTTCCTGCTTTATGTGAGGTAACCTCGATTTACCGTGAGGTCACAAGGCATTGCTCGAACTGTGATAGGGGAGCAGGGCCTCCTATGGATGTTCCTTTGTAAACACTCGAAGGGCGTCTGTGAATCACTACACACACAGCCGTTGTAGAGCTTGACTCCTGCAGATTTCTATGCGAAGCTCATGCTGCGAACTCACGCATCGCTACCACGTTTGGTAGCACGAGCCATCCTGCGCAGCAGAGGCCTCCAGTCCTCCCGAGAAAGACTAAGGCCTCAGCTGCCTGCGCTATGAATTTTCCTGTTCCGTGACAGATGCAAGTTGCTGCGATTCCTGAACGACATGGACCTCCCTACATCATCCCTATGCCAGCCGCTCCGTGCAGCGTTCTTGAGTTAGGGGCACCTGCAGGCCCCAAAACTTCCAAACAATTCCGTACATTCATTCATTCCTTACAAACCACCAGTAAGTGAGAGGCTCTGGTTTTGGCGAAGCTTCGTCCTTTAGTGTAGCCACCAGGAGATGTTCGAGCCGTCTCAGCACAGCTGCCCTTACCATGGATGTTTGTTAGTAAATGTCCGACAAACGCTCTGAGATTTCACCGAGCCCTTGACTCCCGAAGATTCCCGTGTAAGATGTCGCGGATGATAAAAATAGTTGGTGTGTTGAAGTTTGAGCCTTCCTCCTTCCCAGCCAAAGAACGCTCGGTCCTCGTAGGAAAGCTCCCTGCTTTCAATGTGTCGCCAGGGCTTGGGCTGGTTGTGCGGTGGATTCTCATGTTGTGTGGAGGTTTCTTAAGTGCTGCATGCTGCTGTAGTGCTGCTCAGCGTGAGGCAAGGATTGGTTTCAGAAATGTTTTCCGGTCTAGGCATCTCCTCATGCAGAGCCAGGATGCGTCTTTACATTGCAGACTCCGCAGTTCACTCAGGAGAGGCCCTTCTTTGTTGCGAGAATGCTCCCAAATTTGGGGGAATGATGCCCGTAAATGTAGAATACGTAGAAGGCCTATTATCAGCGTCGCCCGTCTTTCACGAGCTATGCTGCCGCGACGGATCTACATGTGGCCCGCATTCCTCATCGATCCTCGGCGCGTTGCCGGCTCCCTTCCTGATCTTAGCCCAAGATTTCACGAAAACTGCAGTTGCAGGCGCCGTGGTTTCTGCAGTTCAAGGTTTGTCCTGTTCGATGCCAGCAAGCCTCGGTCTCTCAGTCTTTCGGAAAGCGCCAGCTGCTACACTTTGGGCTTTCAGGTCCTGTGAAAGTCAATCTTCTGTGAGATTCGGAGCGCCGCGCCTCATGCAGTGGGCTCACACAAGGTGATGGCAGGCAGCAATCCTGAATTGCTTGATGCAGATAGCCGCGCCCAAAGAGAGGACGTCTTGGATAGGCATTACCTGGGCCTGCCAAAAACCCATAGTAACAGCCTACGCCATAATCGTGCGGTCAAGGCCATGATTTTGGGTTCTTTTGGAGGTCCAGATAGGGTCTAGGGTTGAGGGACTAGCCCTCCGATTCCTGACCTGCCGTTTCAAGGATATGCAGCTCCCTTTGTGGAGCCTGTCAGGACGAGATGTCAGGCTCCAGCTGGGCTATGCCTTGGGCAGATTTCGATTGACGTCCTGTGAAAATCCATCCTTAATCCCTAAGCCGTAAGTCCGGAAAGCTAACTCACCCGAAATCATGAATTCCTTGAACCCTAAGCCCTGGACTTTAATTCCTAGATCCCAAGCCTCAAGGCCTGGAGCTTCTTCGGAGCGCTGTCATGCGTGCAGCTCCGTGAGAAATCTTACAGGGCCCGAATTCCCACATCTCCTTGGTGCCTCCAAGGGAGGAATGGATCTCTCAAGCCTATACTTGAAAACTGAGACCACAACCCCATCCAGGTAGATTATTATTGGGGTAAGAATGGGGGATAGTGGAAAACAGAATGGAAACTAGAGGGAATAATGGAAACAAAATGGAAACCATTGATTCCTGTTCTGTAGCGGGCCGCTCCCTCGTCTCCGCTGTTGGTCAACTTGGCTTGCTTGGGTTTGCATCTGCCGACAGCTGTCTTACCCTGGGCATTCCCTGAAATTATAGACCCCTTCTGCAGGACACGTAGGACGGGTATGCAATTTAGATTTTTCGGGATCCCAAAAGGACCCAGCAGTCAGAGTTGTTGGGGTGAGGGCCTTGCGTGCGCACAGGCTTCCTCCCGCTCTCACGTAAAAGCAAAGGCCACCAGAGCTGGTTCTGTGCCCAGGTACATCACTTGGGACGTGGCGCAAGTAACGTTGCAAAGGGAGCGGTACCGTCGCCCTCGGAAATGCAGAAGGAAGCTTGCAAGGCACAATCCAACTAACTGGCGCACTGGACCATCGACCACGGCTTGGGTCAGTATCGGGTCTAGTGGCTAGAGGAGAGGACGGTCCGCTTCGCAGTTGCAAGATGAGAGGCAAGTCGCAGTGCACTGCCGCTTGGCTCTGAAGGACTCAGTTTCATGGTAAGCTCGGTGGGCGTGGCAGCAGGACCTTCTGTCTTCTCAGAACCAGGCTGCCTCCATATACCCCCTACATGCCAAGATTCAAGCGGCAGGTCGATCCTGGGACACCGTGCAACTGCTGGTTCTTGTCGGAGGGGTGAGCACCAACAGATCGTTTGAAGCTCAAGGCAGAGCGCGAAAGCTTGTGCTTGCCGCCTCCATCCGGTTCCGAGCATGCAGCCTTGGTTTTTCTGGCCCCTTGGGTCTATCAACGTCGCCAGTCCTCACGTCCACTTGCTTCTGCTTTAGGGTGTACGGATTCGTGCACGTTGCAGGAGGCCGCCAAGGAGCTGGGACATGCATCTGTGCTTCATCCATGCCTGATACGACTTCTTCCGAGCTTGCTGCAGAAGGTTGAGGTACAAGTGCAGTAGATCCTCACCTCCCGCTGCATGCGCGGCAGCTGCAAAGCAGCAGTTGCTGCAGTTGAAGCTCTGCAGGTAGTACACAGTGCGGCTGTACATATCGCAAGAAACAGTCGATGCATCCATTGCACTGGACCATCGACGACGGCTTGGGTCAGTATCGGGTCTAGTGGCTAGAGGAGAGGACGGTCCGCTTCGCAGTTGCAAGATGAGAGGCAAGTCACAGTGCACTGCCGCTTGGCTCTGAGGGACTCAGTTTCATGGTAAGCTCGGTGGGCGTGGCAGCAGGACCTTCTGTCTTCTCAGAACCAGGCTGCCTCCATATACCCCCTACATGCCAAGATTCAAGCGGCAGGTAGATCCTGGGACACCGTGCAACTGCTGGTTCTTGTCGGAGGGGTGAGCACCAACAGATCGTTTGAAGCTCAAGGCAGAGCGCGAAAGCTTGTGCTTGCCGCCTCCATCCGGTTCCGAGCATGCAGCCTTGGTTTTTCTGGCCCCTTGGGTCTATCAACGTCGCCAGTCCTCACGTCCACTTGCTTCTGCTTTAGGGTGTACGGATTCGTGCACGTTGCAGGAGGCCGCCAAGGAGCTGGGACATGCATCTGTGCTTCATCCATGCCTGATACGACTTCTTCCGAGCTTGCTGCAGAAGGTTGAGGTACAAGTGCAGTAGATCCTCACCTACCACTGCATGCGCGGCAGCTGCAAAGCAGCAGTTGCTGCCGTAGAAGCTCCCATATTACAGGTAGCCCCAGATGTTGCCTGCGCACTGCTGCATCGAACACAGTGCGGCTGTACATATCGCAAGAAACAATCGATGCGCATCCATTGCAGTTTCGGGTCATGAAGGAGCGACCGATCCATCGGCCCAGCGCATGGAGCATCCTCCACACCCAGAACTCGTTGCAAAAGGTCGGAAGTTGATCATTTGCATGTGTGGCAAGGGTCAGCTCCGGGGGGGGGGGGGGGGGCACTGCCCGGACATTTGGGTTTGTGTGTTTGTTCAGGCTCAAGCTGGCTTCGTGTCTCAGGATCAGCTTCGCTGCTTCAAGTGTTTCGGCTCGAGTGTGTTGCGTGAAACAACAAATATGAGCAACACACGTGTTGAGACCACATGCTTCAGGTGTGTTTCGGGCACCCTTCTAATCACAGCTTGGCAACTGCCTGTAGTTTTGGATAGGACTTCTGTAGTATTGGACGTGCCACTTCGTATCGTGTTCCAAATGCAACCATGCTTGTTCAGGCGCGACTCTCAGAGGGCATAGCATCCAGCAGCATTTTCTGTTCCCAAAGATTGTGCCATGCTGTGAGAGAGAGAGATTGACAGGTGGGCAAACGATATGTGTCAGAGCAACGAGAAATTGACCCGCTCTTCGCGAAAGCCATGCAGGATGGCGGCATCGTACCTGTGTTGGAATGTCCATTAACCCGAAGACCGGACACTGACACGAGGAGCTCCTCTCCAGAAGCAAAGTCTTCCAAGACACCCATGAAGAGCCGCTTGATTTCAAACCATGCTGTTCTTCTGCGCTAGCTGCATGCCAGCGGGTTAGTCAGTGTTTTGCGGTCAACTGTGCTTGCGAGCACAGTCGGCTTGATGCATCGGAAGGTTGTGGGTTCGCATGTGAAGCGCACGACATGTGTCAGGTTCATCCGTGATCTCATTGTATCGTGCAATCGGAGGGTGCCTTGGCTGATTGCAGCTCAGATTGGCTTACTGACATGCCTAATTCGCATTGCCTCCTGCCCCGGTTGAAAATGCCAGGAATATCCCGTCAATCGATACCTGATGGAGGAAGGAATGCAGGGAGACTCGATGTATTGCTCTCAGTTTGACCCAAGTGCTGCCTGCTGCACATGTGCTTGTTTCCATCGTCGAGTCGCTCTTTTTTTTTGCCCAGCCCGGATGACAACACCATGCGCAACATGAGATCAAGATTCAGGTAGGGTCAGGGGAGGAGTGAGTCGAAATGCAAACCATGAGTACTCTTGACTGCCATACTTATGATGTGGTTGCTTCAGCTGGTGTCAGACACATGTCTTGTTCGATGGCATTTTAGAGGTGACAGAATTGAAGCTTCCTGTCATAGTCTTGCAATGTTGGGCACACTTGCCGTCGATGCCTTCCCCGCACTGCCTACTCGGCACACTGCGCCCTTGCAAAGGCAAAGACCTCCGAAAGGTCATGAGTATGTCGGCCATTTTGGCCACTTTGGCCATTTTGGCCAATTTGGCGTGCCTGCAGTGCTCTCTGTTGCATGTGCTTCGAGATGGAGCACACGAGCTTCTCGCAGCTGCAATCGAACCAGCGTGCGGGCTGAAGCAGTAGACGTTCCAGAAAGTATTGAAGGCATTGAAGGGGATCCTTACGCGTCAGACCTGGAGGAGGATGAGTTCTTCCGGCAGACATTTCCACGCCCAGAACAGCTCGAGAAGTATGTGGATGGCAAGAAGTACATCCTCGTCAAGTACAACAAAAGCCCGGAGTGGGTACCTGAGGAGGACGTGGGCGTGTACCGCTTCTCACTTCGGGGCTATGAGTCCAGAGGTGAGGACGGACAGTGGGTTTCCTATGCGCAAATGCCTGAAGACACGTCCCATCTGACAGATGCCCAGCGCGAACGGCTCATCTTGGAGTTGAGAGGCCAGGTAAACTTCAACCTTTCTGATGGGACGGATGAAGATGGCTTCAGGCCACTTCCGAAGGTGCCGCCATTAGAGAAGTGGCCATACTATCAGATTCAGGTCGCTGACAACCTCGGGGCAACGCCTGAAGAATTGGAGGACTTTCAGGAGCTTGATCTCACAGAGGATCTACCTCGTGCCTTCTTCCTTGCCAACAGGTGGAAGGTTGGCAATGAGGCCAGACGACATCTTGGATACAGTGTCAACACAACCCTCAATGATGTGGCCAATATGAATGGAACAGTCTTAGGCTTTAAGTCGATGGTGGAGCAGTTCAAGCGAACCTCCAAGTTCCGAAGAAGGAAGCCGGAGGATCGGCTGCCCTCCGATGCAGAGAGGATAAAGAATCTAAAGATTACAAGCTTGCTCGGCACGAAGAAAGGCTCAGCTATGGCCCTGTGGTGCTATAACAGCAGGACGCAAAAGTTATTGGTGGACCTTTGCTTAGGCGATGACTGCATGGACCAAGGCCTTTATGCTGAGGAGGTCCTGCTGCGCCGGCTGATCTCCAAAGCCAGTGAGCTGGGTGCGACTAAATTATGGTGCCGGAGCAGGCGAACGGAAAGTGGCAAGGTTTTTTTGCCGCCGCCGATGCGAAGTCTAGGCTTCACTGCGGTACCTGTTGAGGAACAGGAGGAGGAGGAATGGGAAGATCTGAGTGCGCCAGCCAGCAAGACAGAGGTCTCCGAGGCTGTTCCGGGCCTGAACTTGTGGATGACAACACGCGACCTCGAGCCATTCCTGGCAGCTGCGAATGCATGGTGCGATGAGATGGGAGCCACGGATTTGAACGAGGTGGCAGATAATAAGCACGATCTCGCAGACTTCTTACAGGAAGAGCATGGTCTATCAGAAGACGAGCGTCAGAGACTGGTCCAATACTGAAGCCGGTGATTCGACTTGCTGCATATGTGTGTAAAAAATATTTGAAGAGCGTTAGCCGTTAGCAACTCTCTGCACCATGCACAGACCCTTTTTCTCGGGATGTTCCTCATTTGCTGCCTGCAATCTGAGGTATGTTCTCTTCAAGGGCGTCGTGGAGGCTTCACCAAAACTCGCATTGCGATTCGCTTGTAGGACGATTGCAGCTAGCTTACTTGCGGGTCGGCAGAAGTCGTCTAGCCGGCCGCAGGTTACATCTGGAGGTCGATATGTCTGCAAGTTGAAAGACGGCTCTATCATCGGAGAGGCGCGTGGAGACACTAGAATGTGACCTGCATGTCATTGCCATGCCTTGCGCCATTGCTTTCTGCAGCAGCCTGGTTTGGTCCGTAAAGTGGCTTCGCATAGCGTGGCAAGCGAAGCATGAGCAGATGCAGCCCTGTCTAAAGTACTGGTGGTTGACTGCAGAAGCTATTCAGAGTGTGTTTGTACATATGTTCAATATTTCTCGCATTCACAAAGACACAAAGAACTGATGCTTGGCAAGTGGCTTGCGATATGGTGTCCCTTTCGACAATGTCGCGGGCCTTTGCTCGAAGGCAGGGCAGGTTTGTGCTGCCGTTGCCTTTCATGGCTCGAGTGCGCAGGCTTCTGTGGCTGATGATGCTTAGCAGCTCGATGCCGGCGGAATCCAATTCTGAGGTGCATCGACCTGACATTCCTTGACTCTCCTTGCACTTTGTGACTTCGGGAGGTGTGCGCTGCCCCTGGAGACTGTGCGCAGCAGCGATACCTTTTCTGCAGCTTCAATTACAGGACTCTGACCTCAAGCCTTGATTTACTTTTCTAATTCTCATTGAGGTGAAGGTGCGAATTATGTAGTTGTAAACGCTTGCGCGGGCCGCCTCGGCAGCTGGGCCGGCCCACGGACAGGAACGGAGGAAAGAGGGTTTCTGGAAAAGGCCTCACAGAAGGGGCAGGTCCCAAGAAGCCCATGGGGGTCCCAGGGCAGGTCCCAGGCGGGGTTGCTTGTTCCAAAACGCTTCTCGGCAGGAAGCCGAGGCGAGCTTACTCACGTGACTTCAAAGTGCCTCGCAGCCTTCTTGCCCTCTTTGCCATCGCAGGAACGGGCTTGGGGATCAGCGCTTGCTTTGGTTTCAGACAGCACTCAAGCTCTCCAAAAGGTGCCTCGGCTGATGCAAAAATCGTGAAAATTACTCCTAGCACAGCATGGCAAAACATAGTACAGAGCTTTCTCACTGCTTTCCCTCCGTTACCCTGAGCTGCTCCAAGGCTTGGCAGAACTCTGGTCTTGACAGGTCCTTAGACAAGGAGAGAGGCGGATTCCTGAGACGTCCTTCATGTCAGAGGTCGTGAATTTAGATTTCTTGAGGCCGCCATTTTGGGTGCCAGATGTGGATGGAGATCAGTATCAGGAGCGCTTGTGCAACCAGCCCGAAGTGACTCAGCATCATTGACTGTTTGAGCAGCTGTCCCGACAAGCAGAGGACAGAAATGCCCACTTCGAACCTTTCACGAACTTGTATGATCCAACAGCGTGGCCCCCTCAAGAGAGGAACGCCTGTGTGTGAAGGTTTGTGTAAAACACGGTCAATGAATGCTCTCCTCTTGCTTGCGGGCCGAAATATGCAGAGGGTTTCATACTGCTTACAACATATTCTGCAACAGTTTCAGACTGACGCGCGAAGCAGCTTCGCATAGAACACAGCTAGCGAGCCGAATGTCTGTGTGATTCAGGTTCGGCGCCTACACTTCCTGGGTCTCCTATGCTGACTTCCGGATGCATGTGCAATCCAAGATAGACACGGTCCACATGACCCCGAGAGAAGCGAAAAGCCACCACGGTCAAGGGCTCAGAGCCAAGAGGAGAGAATGGCAGATTTGAATGGGTTTTGAGGGTTTAGGGTTTAGGGTTGAGGGAAGCTGCCAAAGCCAGCCCCAGGCATCGACTGCGAAGCAGGGCAGATGCTTGAGATGGAGGGTTCCATGAAGATCTTCGATGATGAGTGGCGATACAAAGGAATCCAGTGCCCGGCGGCTCAGAGCAGCTCAGAGCCGACTCAGAGCCGACTCTTTGGGGCCCCCACATGTGTTCTTCGCGCATCTCGTTGTGGCGCAGCATGGCACAGAGTGAAGTGCTCAGGCCTAGAAACCCGTCAGATGATGAGCCCATTCATGCAGAGTGAGGAGCAGGCCGCTGAACTGCTATGGAGCTTTTGATGATGTCATTAAGAATCATTAAGGTCGGTCCTGGTCCAGAACATTCCAGAAGTGTTCAGTTCCAGTCCACATGGACCATGCTGAGTCCGTGACCTGCCCCCTGCAGGTCCTCGTGACTCGGTCCGAATGGTCTCGTTGGCAACGCCTATGCTTTTATCTGTGGGATGCCAAGAGCTGATGACTCAATCAAGGTCTTGAACACACGCAACAACCAAGAACTGCCTGAGTATCGACGCTGGACGGCCGTAGAACTGTAACCAGCGTGACATGATCTGGGATTTGTTTCTGATCTCCTAGCCAATCGCTTGGCTCAGGAGTGGACATGATCCCTTTAGGACAGGCATGTTTTGTTCGAGCACCAAGACTTTTGATGCGACACCTCCACATGGTCAACCAGCCCTCGGCCCTACGCAGGAGACTGTGAGAAGCAGTGGCCATACGATATGGCATTCAACGCCACGCAGCGAGATGGCGTTAGTCGCATCTGGGATCTCTGACTTTTCTGTATTTACTAGGTCGGTTGAAGGGATCGATCGAGGTCAAGTTCTCAGCCAAGGCTGGTCGAAGCAGCTCGAGGATTCGTCCGCGAAAGATTTGGCCACGATGGTAGCTTCATCGCAGTGCACTGGAGACACGGCAGCTTGTCTGAGAATGAGTAGGGAGAGATTCTTTGCCAGCTAGACTCCTAGACGATGCCACACCCAGTCCACCACAACCAGAGGTTGCAGCATGAGCACGAAAAGTTCCAAACTGGGGGTTTGCACTGGTCTGTTTGGTGTTTGCGGGACTGCACGTTCGTTGTCTTTGCTTGCATATGATGTATGGCTTGACATTGTTACAAGCTCAAGTGAAAGGCCGTGCTGTTGCCAGATTGACTTGGTCAGGAACAAGCATGCACAAGGACGCGGACAAGTTGGCTGAAGAGGTGATCTCTATGCTGGACAAGCACGGCTACAGCGCGCCAGCGGCATTTCTCTCCAGCAACTGCAAGGTGCTAGCTGTGCTTGAACAAGGCTTTTGTGAAGTTTCGTTCGTCTACGTATGCAGGATGAGGAGGATCTTAGAGACTTTGGAAGAAGGCTAGGGATGGAGATCGTGCAGTTCAAGGACCGCAGCGCCACGTGGCTTCACCTCCTGACCACCTCCTATGGCTGTCTTGCCTATTTTGCCCGGGTGTTCTTTGCAGGACGCTTCCTTCGCACCATGGCAGCGAGCCCTCATCGAGCCTTTTCTCCATAAGCCCATGGAAGTATGGATCGGATTTGGCCCATTTTGCCGAGGACATGATCATTGCCAGCGAGGCACCACTATTCGTTCCCTCGAGCTACTCGAGCTCCTTTGCCAAGACGATCCTGCCCCTTGACGGCACCATCAGGGGCAACCTTGCGGGGCCCAGCAGATCCAGCAGATCCGCTCGCTCTGTCAGGTTTCATCGAGTCAAGGGACGGCAAAAGATCGATGAAGACATCCGCGTGCATTGCTGAAAAAAGGTCACATCCTTGTGTGGTAGTCCAGAAGGAACCTGTGGAACCCTTTGTAGTTTGAGACATGCTATGGCTGTTTTCGTCGCTGTCGTTCAGACGGCGCTTCTCAACGTGGACAATCGCCGGACCGCATCCGTCCGATCCCTTGCGCCTTGTGCTTACGAACGACACAGCGGAAGATCCCAGATATGAGCTGTGCAGACGCAGTCACACAGCCAGGAGATGTGACGTTGCCATAATCTCGCGATTCAGCTTCCACTCAATTCTGGAGAGCCTTGGCCACAATGCAGAAGCTCATCCAATGCAATTTTTGGACAAGAAGAGAGCACCAAGAGAGTGGCTAATGATCTGAGGAAGTACCCTTGGGAAAAAAGGAAGTGCTCTCCTGAGTTGCGCAAGCAGCTCGTATGGTTTTCACTTGTGATGCAGCTTTCTTCGGTTCAATGCTTCAGATGAAGGTGCAGCTCATTTCTAATGTTTCCAAAATGTCCTTCTGATTTGAGAGGTTTCAAAGGGAGATGAAGCACAAGCTGATGGAGCTAGGCAGGAGCCTCTATTTGGAAACAGGGCGCCCTGTGAAACCTCGAAGCCGGCTCTGGCCCCTAGGGAAGCTGATCGACGTGAAGGACGACATCAACCTGGAACAGCAGGCCGGGAGAATGTGGGAGAATGTGGGACTGTGGAGCAGATTTGGTGACTTTTGGGCTGGGGTTGATTGAGATCTTCGCCAGGCGACGCAGTGCGATGCACTGAAGCAACTGCCCTTCTTCTCGGACAGCAGTGAATCGATGCACGAGTTCGCTCAGAGCTCGGAGAGGCTAGGGCGGAGCTCGGCAGTGCATCGGAGTTGGTTTGACCCCATGCGACCCAGCTGAGGTTGCAGAGCTCGCGATGAATACGTCAGGGGCTGAGCTGAGTCTGTGAGAGGCCATGTGTCCTGTGGCAACGCCTGCATTGAGCGCAGCTCTGGTTGGACGGCGGCTGCACGGCAGAGGTCGACATACTGGTACAAACCCGGGAAGGTGTTGATCCAGGCCGGGACCCACATGACACTGCTTTCAAAATAACGCTGTGTGACTTGACGTATGGCGTTCTGGGACTTTGCACCCCCGTCCCGACGTCGCGGAGGAAGGCGATGGCAACTGTGACGAGATGTTTATCTTGCTTCGTGGAGGGCTAAGAACATTTCTTAACGTCTCTCTCTCTCTCTCTTTGCACAAACTCGCTCTCTCTATTGCTCTGTTTGTCACTCCGATAGCCGCTAGCCTCAGCATGTCGGGATCAGAGCTCAGGTGGTGCATGTGAGGTTTCTTCATGTGGTCAGTTCTTGGGAAGGCAACGGCGAGATATTCCTGTCTGGTGCAGTGCTTCTTGGGTCCTCGTTTGAGAATCAACGAAAGCCCATTAAAGCTGATCCCCAGAGCTTTTCTCCACAAGCTCGCGCGGTTGCATTTCTGATGAGTTTGTTGGTGCCTTCATCGAAAGCTGGCCTGGCTCGCTGGTGCAACGCCCATGCAGTGGCGTAAAGTGAGAGAGAGTAAAATCAAACACGCGGACAGAGCATGCTGCGCCCCGCAGCAGCCGCACAGTGAAGACATGCAAAGGCCCCACACCCACAATGGCTGGGGGCCATCCCTCACTTGTGCAAGTTGTTGCAACTTCCGGCTGACTGCTGGTGCCGGCTGCCTTGGGCAATCTTATGGAGGTTTCCTGCGTTGCGAGTCTGCTTCAGGTGTCACTCACTGCCTGCCAGGATAGAGAACGACATTATCGGCGAGATTGGCATTCTAGATTTGCCTTTCCAGCATGTTGCTAGGGTTTCTGAATGTCATACGTGACACGAGCAACAGTCCAGCCAGCTTCCTAGAGCGAAGCACTGCAGTTAAGCAGTTAGCCAGGCTTGAGCGACGGACAGCGACCGTGAAGACGGCCAGTGCCTGCCAATGCATGAAGCTGTCCCGGCAGGCGGTGAGCCTGGCCCATCTCCAGCGAGTCTGTGAAAGCACCTTGACATCAGGTGATGGTTCCGATCTTGGCCAAATATCCGGATGCCCGGCTGCGTCTGCCCGGCACCTGAAACCTGCCTTGGCGACAGCAGGTCGAGAAGATTGTTTGGCCTGAAACAAGGCTGGAGCTGGCCAGGACTCGCCTGACTGCGATCAGCGAGGCGATGAATGGACCGCAGGACGGGCTCTTGGCCTTCTGGATCACCGGGCCACATCGACATGGTGACATGCTGCCATGCGTGGTGAGGGTGGCCCGGAAAACGGCACTGTCGCAGTTCAAGACATTTGTGGACGCCTGCCCGGGCTCTTGGCAGATTGACTGTCTGTTCTTCTGAGAGCATCATTCGATGACAGACATGACGGGGGCACCACATGTGAATGTGGCTGCGGAGTTCTGGAGAGTGTTTCCAACGTGGCCAAATCAACTTGAACACCTCTTTTGCTGTTGATCAGGCCTGGGTGTGCTATTGGATTCGGCCCACACGTGCAGCAGGCAGGGAAGCTGAAAGGTACAGCTTTGAGAAACTATGTAGCTGCCAGGTAGCTAGTCCTGTTCGCTGTAGATGTGGCTTGAACCGCAGAATGCGATTTTCGCAGTATGCCACTACACAGCCATGGCAGTCCTTCACATCATTCCTGATGCAGATGAGGAGAGACGAGGTAACGTTATTTGTTGATAACTTTGGCTGCGGGCAGCTTCTTGTATCGCTTGCCGCTGATGGCCATCACCACAACTCTTTGCAAGTGGAATGCCGCTGGCTCGGTGGACGTGGTATCAAATACGCCCCTGTGAGGGTTCAGCACCTGGCTTCTTCAGGCATGGCCATTCACTTTCCGTCTGTCTAAGGTATTCTCCTCGCATGCATGGCCTGGACGGCTTGGCGGTGCACGGAGACTTTCCTCCGCTTCCTCCACTTCCTCCACTTCCGTTCTTCGCCTGAAGGCCATGTTGTACTTGGATGCAGCGCCACAAACCTCCGAGAAGATCTGCATGTGAGTGAGGTGCAGATGCGGGCCCTTCCTGAAGTTCCCTCCTTCTCAGCACCCTTCTGCACGATGCATGCGAGCAAGTAGATGGGATGCAATGATTCAACATAGAGGTACGCGATCGGTTGCTGATCTGGCAACCCCTGGTAGCAGCCGCCCTAATCTTTGGCACATATGCATCTTGGCTACAGATCGGATCGTAGATGTTCGTAGATGCTGGTAGATGCCGGTGTAGATGCTGCTTTCCAAGTTTTGTCAAGTTGTGAAGCTCTCCGGCAAGAGGCCTTCATCATCTGGAAGTCGGGCCGAGCAGCTGACGCCCGGGACAGGCGGATGCAGAAGGAGCTTCAGCTGCGGAGGCTGCAAGGCTTGCAGCTCGTCCGAGGAAATGCAGGCGAGCTGGAGGAGAGCACACGAACTTTGAGAGAACATGCTGCTACGTGAGAACATGTGAGAACATGTGAGAACACAGCACAGTGTGCCCCGGAGGCGAGGAGGAAGTCGAGGCGTGGCAGCTTGCATGGGATCAGACCTGGAGAGGGAAGCTGTCAGAGACTGTCAGAGTGGTGCTGCAGGCTTGCGAAGAAGAGCTCGAACAGTTGAAGGTGGATGAGAAAAACGAGAAGGAGATCATCGGTTGGGGCACGGCTCGGCTCTCGGCTCTCGGCTCTCGGATTCGTTCCCTCTCCAGTGATTCAAAAAACTCTGCCCTGTGTAAGGCATCGCCCACGTCTCGGCGGTACTCCCTGGAGTTGTCATCCTTGCCCCAGTCTGATGTGAGTCGTGCGACTCGGCGCTGTCGGCATCTCTCTCTCTCTCTCTCTCTCTCTCTCTCTCTCTCTCTCTTTCGCTTTCAAACACGGATTCGGCAATCGCTTTCAAACACGCAGTCGGCAATTGAGCAAACTGAGTGGAACAAATCTGAGCCCATTGTGTGATGAGTAGATCGTCAGCCAAGGAGTACATGCTCATGAAGCCTGCCCAAACCGAAGTCAAGATGAAGAGGTCAGCATCAGTTTCTTCCATGCCCCTGCTCGCCCTGCTTTGAGTCTCTCTCTCAGATGAAAGGTCATCTGGCACCTCAGATGACTCTGAGAGGATTGAATCCCTGGCGGTGCTAATTGGCACAGTGATACTTGCGATAGTACTGTTCCAGATCTCGGTCTAGATCTTTCGGTCGGCAGTTGGAAAAGCGCGCAGGGCGCAGAGCACGACCTGCCACTTGTGCTGTTTCAGAAGCGTGTCATTTGTATTGCACATAATGGCGGCACGTGCGGGGGCAGCGCCTACGGTTCCTTGAGCCATCTTATTGTCAGGTTGATGCGAGTTTGCTTGCCATGAGCCCCATCTTCCAGGCGTGACTTTGGGCTCACTAATCTGATAGCATATGCAGTTTGAGTGCAGCTTTTTGAGTGCAGCTTTTGAGTGCAGATTCTGCAGGATGCCCCAATTCCTCTCGTCTATGCGCTAAGCCAGCGCATGGCATCCCTCTTAGGGTCGCCGGGGTAGCCTTGTTCTGATGAGCCTTGTGTACATTGTGTAGAGTGTAGATGAGGTGGACAAGAAGTTCGAGGATGGAGAGGTTATCCTCAAGGACTTGTCAAAACGTGTCAAAGCTGGGATGCAGAATCTTGGCGTCTGTCCTTCTGTCCTTCTGTCCTTCAGAGGATGGGGAAGGCTTTCAGCCTGGCCGTGACTACGTTTACTTCATCGTCAAAGGTGAAGTAGAAATCTGGAAGGCAAGCGCCTCAGATCGGAGATGTTGGTGCTTTTGAGCTGAACCACGGTCGAAGGATGGTAACTTCGTCGTTCTGCTCAAGGATGGAGAAGCGCTGGGTCCTTGCAATGGGCTTCAGGGGCTTCAGGAAGGCTCGCAAAAGCCAGCCGCTAGATGCAGGGGATGCCGAGGTATGCCCGAGATGCTTCGGAGGAGTGTTTTGAGAAGAGCTTGAGCCGACATATTCTCATCTTCAAGAGAAAACAAACCTCCTCGAGGTTCGGTGACCTGGCTGCGCTGCGAAAGCTGGCGGCACGGCAGGCGTGGAGTGGAGAGATGCGGAGTGGGGAATGCTGAGATCTGGGGAAAGATCTGAGAATCTGAGAGAAGAGCCCTTATAAGCGCCCTTCGTATGAGTCTCTCAGAGCCAAGGCCACTGCCAAGGCCAAGGGTCAGGTCTCTTGCAGAGCCGCCCGACACCTACATCTTATCATGACTTTCACAGCACATTCTCTAGCCTTTTCCAGACGTTTGTTCTCGCAAACTGCCATTGGTCTTGTCGGCTCACAGCTTTGCGCAGCTTCTTCGCATCCTTCAACAATCTTTCACAGCTCTTTCCGGATCCGCAGTCTGGTGGACACTGGCAGCATGCACGTCAAGCAATGCTCCGCTGGCAGACTGCCTTGTGGGGCGCTCTGCTGTTCTGTGCACTGAGCGCAGGACCGAGCGACTGAACACAGGGTCTGAAGGATGCTCCGCTGGACGCCGCAGGGCTGCTCTGCCCTCTGCCCCGTAGCAGTCGTCTTGGAAAGGACCAAGTTGGACGTTCTGGAACGCTTCCCAGGAAAGGGCCGTGCGCGGCTCGGCTGTTTCGGAACGGTGCACTGGAATTCAAGCAGTGCACAGCATGCACCGGGATATATCCGGATATATCTTTTTTGTTGTGTATGATATGCAGCAGGTGCCCAAGGTGCCCAGCATGCAGGATCCGGAAAGCTTTTATCATTCTCTGGAAGGCTCTGTGAGTGTCATCAGGGGTCACTCTTTTCGCTTCGGCTTGGGCTGTGGCTTTGCCAGGCACTACGCCTCCACAGCTGACGGCGAACCCTGGTCCTCTTCCTTGCCCTGGGCATTTCACATTAATCTTGGAGAAGGAGCTCCGCGGTAGGGTGTTGGAGATGGTAGACCAATGTGGCGCACCAATGTTCATCAAGCATCTTGCAAAGGCTCTTGATAGATTGGAAGCTGCCGATGCAAGCCTGCAGCCTCACATCGTTCACTGCACCGAGGACTGTCCAATGCCGGCTTGTAGGATCTGAAATCTCCATGCTCACAGCGGCCGCATGTTTGTATGTGTGGATGTACTTCCCAGAATTTTCCGATAGGTGGGCATTTGGAATGTTCATGCCTGAGCATGTTAGCATTCCCTTTCCTGGTGTAGGAGTTTGTGACGATCCACGATGGCTATCCGAAGGTGCGCTGCTTCACTTGGCCTCAACAGTGCGCAGCTGCACAGGACGGGCTTGCGAGGAAACCATAAAGTCTAAGAGAAATTCTGAGGCTGCTGCCCATCTGCTTGTTCTCCCTCGACAGCGGGTTGCGGGTCTGGCACAGCTGACGGAGGTGCACTTACCCATGGTCAGGCCGGTGGTGTGCTTTTCTTCTGTTTTTTTTGTATTGTCTTTTTTTTTTTTTGGGGGGGGGGGGGGGGGGGGAAATCGAGCTGCATAGGCATGCGGGTGTCGTGGTCACGGTGCAGGCGGCTGGCTGCATATGTGGCTTGGATCATGGAGACCTTCGAGCACTCCGAGCACTCCGAGCACTCCGAGCACTCCAGTCTTGGCAGCTTGGCAGCTTGTCGCTGCATTCCACGGGTAGTTGGGTAGACACCAAGCAGTTGAACAGTGTTTCCTTCCACGACGGGGTAGTCTTGCCCTTGCAGTTGCTTGATGGCGAAACTGCGAGCTTGCAAAAAGTGTCGCTCGGGCATCTCGGGCTGGAAAGACTGCTTGGTCAAGGTGTTTCGCAGGAAAGGTTCCATTGGCAGCTGTGCGACATGGCACGTGGGCCCTTGGTACTTGGCGGCGAAGTGAAGAGCGACCCCCGAGCCCGAAAGACCGAGCATTTCCTATCATCGGGGCCCATAGTCGGAATGTCAATAAAGAGTTCTGGCCTGACTTCCACCCGGCAGAAAACATTCTGGCCCCATCTCTTGACCCCCGAGGCCTGAGCTTTAGGGCCGAAAAGGCGGCTCTGGAGACTGCACAGACCAGAGCGCGCAAGGGTTCATTGAACCCAACCATAGACCTCAAGAACATCAACTCTGAATTGTGAGCGTTTGGTCCAAAACCGCCAAAAACTCTCGTGGCGGCCACTGAAGCTCAACTGCGCTAGTGCACGAAAGTGAGCTCCTTGCATAGAGCCAAGGATGGGTGCATGGAATCCATGCAGTTCCTTCACTGCGGCAACTGCACGTTCATTTGCTGACGTTAGACATGGCTGCGCCGGCCATGAAGAACCTTGGCATTGTCATGGAGAGTGGCCGAAGGGTAACAGGGGCAGCTCCTGTGCAGACGTTCTTTAAAGATTCCCGAAAAGGGCATACAAAGGCCGGTTGGTTATGGGCATGTTTATGCTGTTTTTATAACCACTTGCATGATGATGGCACACAAAACAATGAGACCAGAGCCCCAGAATGCCTGCGCATGCGCAAAGATCGGCCGTTTCGCCTAGCAGATGCATACCCTTGCACCGCGCACCAGCGTTCCTGCTCTTGCAGGAGGGCTCCCACAGGAGCATTGGAACCACCCCTCTCCTGGCAAGGTCTCCTTGGATTTTTACAAAAGCACACAAAAGCGTGCTCGTCCGCGAAGATGAGCGCGGCATGCGGCTTTTCCGGCATAGCGCAAGGCTCTACTTGTACAAAGTCTGCCACTTTGGCTTGAAGGCGCGTGTGCACGAGGGACATGGTACTGAACATGTTTGCATGGCAGGCAGCTGCGATGGCCCAAGGCAGTCGCAACCATGCCGACAGTTTCTGTGCCTGCTTTCTGTGAGCGCTTGGTCTGCACGCCTACCTTTGCATGCTGCGCTCATGGAACAGTGTCGCTGCATCCTTGTTTGGGTTTCTTACGTGACAGAAGCTGCAGAAACAAGAGCAGAACGATGCGGCTCGTTATTCTTGTTGCCAAGTGTCCTAAGAATCGTTGCCATGCGGGAAAGCATGACAATGATGTATTCATGCAAGATCGGTGGTTGAAGTATGTGGGTCTCTTGAACCTAGGAGCCTTGTCTTGTTCTGGAAACGCACCTAAGGAATGCCAAGCATTTCAGACGCTTGCTTCGATTGGTTGTACATGTACAAGGTGCTTATGGTGGCAGACTGTGGCAAAGCTACCATAACAATTCCACCACGAAACTCAGTGCCACATGGTGGACGTGCTTTGTGAGTCACCGAGATTCCTTTCAACCACCGTTTCTGGCGTTTTCCTCAGCTGACCACGGTGCTGCGCATGGACAGAATGCGAGAATGCACCAGCATTATCGTTCAAATCTGAGGTTTCATTGGATGAAGTGCTGTGCACTTTGCAAGACAAGGGCGGCTTTTCAGAAAGGCGGGAGTGTTTGATACCTGTGTTGCGCTTCTACTTCATAAAGTATCATGCAGCCCCTCGCTCCATGGTCGTGTGTATGGGAGTGTTTCCAGGTCTCTGGAAGATGTACACGATGACATGAAGAAACGCTCTCTTTGTTGCCACCGTTTCTTGAGAGATTTGGTTCGACCAACGTCGCGGGAGGGGTGAGGGTGTAGATGCGCATGCTTCACCTCAGGTTGCGGCAAAAACTTCGGGCGGAGCTTTGCAGAATTGAAAAGGCACCAGATTATCGAGCCAAGCAAACATGAAGGTGATGCTAGTTTTCCATGTTTCGTCCGGAGGCACCTGGCTTCCTGCAGAGACAAGGCAGTGCCACCATGGCCGTCTCCGAGGCCCCGCCCCTCTTCCATGGTTTTATGTGTACTTCCGATACTTGCGTCGCTTTTGCATGTTCACACACTGCCTTATCTGACCTTTCCCCATCAGGTTGTGGCGGGGTTCTGTCCGACCTTCGGGCTCCAGGGGCAAACGCGCCAGGGAAGGGGAAAGTGACTTGGAATGCACAAACAGACAATTGCTTTTCCAAATGCTTTCTCTGTTTCTCTGGGCTGACTGTTGCCTCAACTGAAACAGCGCACCGCAGGTTTTCACGGCAATGCACTTTGCAGTTACCAGCTTTTCGCAGCTCCGGCATGCACAGGAGTAGTGCATAGCAGTGCTGTGCAGGCGGCGAAATTGACGATGGTGTGATCGACCTGACTGAAAGCTGAGCAAAGTGCACAAAATATCGGAGCAGAATGCTTCACACGATTCACAGAAAGTGAGTGACATGCTGCTTCCTGAGTCCTAGTTCAGAAAGCTATGCCTTTTGCCTTGGGCCAGAACAAGGTGCTTGCAAGATCCTTGCTGGAGGCCTTCGTGTTCCCTTCGTCTTGTGGTTCTGATGTACAGTGAACGCATTTCAAGAATGAAGGTTTTGGAGCAGCACCCAAATGACCTGGTCATGGAAATCTGGGAAGAAATCATGACGTTCAGGATCGTGAGTGGGGCATGTTGCAATCCCCTTGTGCCCCTCACAGCTCTGCATCGTTCTAACTCTTTCCTGAGGGAGGCGCAGATGAAGCAGAAGTTGGACTTGCAGAACCACTTGACGTCCCCTGGCACAGCTGCTGAGGGTGAGCACCGTGTTTGGCAACTGGCCTCAGGCATAAGACGGTTGACATCGACTTCATGTTTTTCAAGCTTCCGGCGATGCAGAAGGATCCGCTTTCGTAGCGTTGGCACGACGTGATGGTGGCATGACCGGATCGCTTGTCAACATACCGTACCCTGTGAAAACTCGCTTCGGCCACACGGCTCAAAGTGATCGTTTAGAATCGGAAACACAGAGCAACACAGTACTGCCAGCACCATGCAACACGATCCCATCGTCTGCTGTGAGCGGTTTTTGAACACCCAACGTTGCCGGAGCTTCCTCGCCACCCGCAAACCTGAGGCGCTTCTGATGGGAGAAAGTCTTATGCAAGCTCTCTTGGTACTTTGGAGAGTTCACCACTTCCTTGTGCTCTTTTGATCGGAGCGCAGGTATTGAGGCCTTGGCTCTGCAATCTGCAATGGGGTACTTCAAATACCAGGCCTGAGTATGTCTTGAATGACTTGATACCCTGAAAGACCCAGTGCTGACGAGGGCCCTCAAGGCCAGGAATGCTCGGAGTGGGCCTGTTTTACACGTTTTGTTTTTTACTCCAAAGGTATGCAACAGGTGGGCTTAGTGGTGAAGGTAGTGAATCGGGGACAGCTGCTCATAATGCCGATAAGGTCGAGTTGTTGTGCAGTGTGCTCTAGTTCAACATGCTCTTTATCTGTTCCCATCCGTTCTAGCTCCTGGCCCACATGATGAGCACTGTGCCACTGAAGCTGTAGACTCTTGACATCTCTAGACATCCCTAGACATCTCTGGACATCTCTAGACATCTCTAGGCTTCTCGGCCTTCCGAGAATGCGCTGCATGATGCCAGGAGGCTCCGACGGACGGGCTGCCGCCCGGAGCGACGACTGTCATGATTAGGCCGAGCAGAGTCAGAGAGTGTGCCCACCTTTGTACATTTGCTTGCATGACAGGGGAGTTGTCCGAAGCATCAGCCTCGAAGAATTCATTCGATTGTTCGAAGCTCAGGACAATGTTTTAGCTGGCTCGGATAGCAACAACAGGAAGGATGTTGATATCACTTGCCAATGAAACACTTATGAGCCATTTCATCAGAGCGGCCCGTTGCATCTGTGCATATCAGGGCTAAGGGGTTTACGGTTGAGTGCCTGGTGTCCTCAAGCCCTCTACGGAAAAGCCTGAAGTTTTGGAGTGAATCTGATTATTTTCCCTTGCACAGTGGTGCCCGCTGATGTTTGTGATAAGGCTTCGCACGATCACCAAGAACTACGACCTTGTCTATGTCCCTGTTGGGAACAAACACTCTACCAATTTGGGTTTGGCATTTGCGCCTTGGCCAGGAATAGTTCCGCGACTGGTGTTTCTCGAGCATCTCTTGAAGCCTTCCGAATTCCGAATTCCGAATTCCACATCCGTGAGTCGGATCTTGAGACGAGGTTAACTATGTCGACGAGGAGGCTGCAAGGACTCCGGCCTTCCCTGCAGAGTACCACATGTTGCCACAAAGCGCGTTTCGGCTCGATTGTTTCGTCTGTTGTGAGAGGACCCTTTGTAGGTGTCACAGTGGCGCTGTTTTCTCCGGCCTTGTTTCATTGCTAGTGCTTGTGGAGGTTGGTTGGGAAGGTGTCTCTAATGGCACGAGGGTTCGCCTCCACTCAAATCACGCATGCGGGCGCCCATTCATCCGTGGGGATTTTTGGCGAGCCGCCAGCCTGGAAATGGATTGTGGCAGTCGGTTGTGAGCATTTCCGCCTTTTGCCAGCCGGCGGCGGTTTAATAACTCTAATTACCCGTAATGCACCAGGTGCTGCGCTTCGTAAAGCAAGCTCAAACAAACACGAAACTGGCGAATCTTTATTGCGGCTTTGCAGGCCCCAATCTGGTGATCCCCGAACCAAGCAGGTCACGTGAAGCTGCAGCAATGTGCCCAAATACCGGACCAAAAAAGGTCAATATTGGAACATTGCCTTCGGATTTTGTTGATGGAACAGAAACGCCCAGATAATCGTATGCCCAGTGCATGGGATCGCAAAGAAACCCAGGCGCCCGCATGTCTACAACATGCCTATGTTCTGTGATCTCGACCGGTATGGAACAGCGCTGCTTCCAATTTCTTGGCATGCCGCCCGAGGAGCAAGTTGATTCCTCGAGGGGGTTCCACAAAGGCCTCTCCCAAAATGGGGCCCACATATTGTGATTTCTCTGTGTGTCTGCCAATACAAGCCAGCCATGCTTAAATCTGGGTCCGAGTCCCGAGTTGTGGGTCCATTTGTTTTTGGTCCAGAAACAGCTTGCTCGAAGCGGGCAGCGGATCCCGTCACAAAGGCAAACAAACGTCTTGATTCCCAGTGTGTCCTTGCGATGCGTGAAATTTCGAAACATAAGCAATGAGCATGGAAGCCAATCGTTGTTTTGGGCTCCAACGGCACGTAAACGTGCGCCGGCGACGCCCCGGCCACATCGGTATTTACAGTGTTTCCGGTGCCCTGCACATAGAAAAGCACGCCTGCCACGTTTTCCACCAGTCCGTGCGAATGGCCAGAGCATCCATGCCGGCACGATGAGAACCGTGTGACCAGTGCGTGCGAATGGCCAGGGCCAACAGACATTTCCCTCTGTTGGCGGCGCCTAGTGCAAAACGACATGCACAAATGCTAGAACTATCTAGAACTGAGACTTGAAAGCCTCATGCCGCCACCTGCAGGATCGGTTTCAATGCCCTTTGTCAGGCATTCCGGCTTCCGCTGTTCTTCCCGGAAAGTAGTCGCTGCAATCTTCTGCGAATGCGCAGGCCCGGGGCCCGCAGAAGTTCCGACTGGTGAAGTCCGCATACGTCCAGGGTTTTCGTCCGTGGCTTAGAAAAGGACATGGGTTTGCGAGCTGGGTTTGCCAGCTGGGCATGTCATGCGATTTTTTGAGATTTCTGAGGGCCCAACCTCGCCTTTATTTTGGCATCTGGGAACGATGCGGAGGCTACCATTGAGCTCCTGCAGAATACATGACTTCATTAGCTCAACAGCAGCCAGGCGTCCTCTCAGCATCATGACCACGTTATGGCAATCTTTCGAAATGGCCAACGCATCAAGGACTGGCGCTGCCCAAATTGTCAAATCTTGTCGTAGGCTTCATCCTTCTGTCAAAATTCCCTGCTCGGGCAGGACGTCGATGCTTTGATGCAGGAGAATGTGACTCAAGATCTGCCGGGGCCTTCTGGTAGGCGTGTAGGCGTGTATCCACTATCTTCATACATCGGAACCTGTACATTTGTGACGTGCCTTGTCCGTCTGTTGCAGGTCAAATAACGGAAGATGTAGATTTTTTCGCATCAGACAACGTGCAGTTTTTTTTCGAGGCTATGGGAAGCGAAGGAGCTTGTCGCCCGAATCGACAGTGAGCATCGCAAGGTGGCGTGGCGAAGCTTTGATGATTGCCAGGTTGCTAAATGAGGGGAGTTTGTTGAAGCCCTGAGCGTTCTGAGCCATCTGGAAAATACAACACAGAAGTCATGATGGCGGTATGCATTCGGAAGCTTTCCGCCGCTCTTTCTCCAGAATTTGCATCGGTATACTTGGAGCCCAGTAACGTGTGCCTCCAGCAGCAAAGCAGCTTCGGGAGACCAAATTAAGGCAGCTTGTTGCCAAATGTGCACAGATGTGCTCAGGGTTTTCAAAGCTCAGGAGCACAGTCCGTGCCCTGCAGGCAAAGACAAGCCGATGAACATGTGTTAGAACCTGAGGGAAAGTAATTTTGCGGCATCAATGAACAAGATTCTGCGTATACAAGGGAGCATTTCGAGCCAGAGGCTTCAGGCAACCCGAAACTAAGCTTGGCGGGTCTTGTTTCGTCTGAATGTCTCAGTCTATGCAGGCTTTGCGTGATTGTGCTTGGCTGTTTGTTCTTGCGTCGTGTGGCTGCGAATATTTTCGTCTGCTTGAGGGAAGCGAGTATTCACATGGCCTGGGTTTGTGTTTGAGGAAGGGCATCGGCCAAGCTAACGCAGTCTGACCATGTGTTGGAGAACATCTGCCGGTGAACTGCTGCGGCCAGGACTCTACAGAATCAGAAGGATCAGGAAACATGGCCGGAGTCCTCAATGAGAGCATAGGAGAGCCATTCAGATCACGTCAAAGCGAGTGTCCCTTCCTTGCCAAGTCAAGAAGCAGCGGCTCTCGAGGCGCACGGCGGATCAGAACCGTGTCTTTGGTGTCTTTTTGTGTCTGTGTGTGTCTTCTGTTGGTTCATGTGGACAGCTGGCCTGCCAATACACCTTCCGCTGCCTCTTCTTCAAGGCCTCGTCAAAGGGGCGCCGGGATACCCCTCTCGGCCCATCCTTCCTCTTAGGTGCCATGGGACCCTTGAGAGCGGCGCCCATCCTGGGCTGCCTGGGCTTGGAGTAGGGAGAGCCATGCACTGGCAGCATCCAGCAGCGGCAGTTGCAGTGTCATGTCCCATGAAGCTGGGACTCTGAACTCGATGCACCATGGAAACGTTCACCAACGAGCTCCTGGCAGTGCTTGAAGCACTTGAGAGCAAGTTGCGACCCTAAGTTGTACGATGCGATGAGTCGTCTGCGTTCAGCAATGATGGCTCGTCGGGTCGTTGTTCACATTAATCTGCTGGAGCCTTACAGGATGTGGTGTCGAGCACGGAGAAAGCGCCCTCCCCGGCTGGTCTCCCATGTGGTACTCTGTGTGAAAATGTGGTACAATGCAAGTTGGCAAGGCAGCCCGGATATAGGTACAGTCTGTACAATCTGTACAAACTGTAGGGGCAAAGCCGAGAGCGACTCTGGAGAAAAGGACAGTTGCCTTTAGGTTTCCCTCTTACCGAGGCGTGCTTTGCTAGCTGTGCAGGTCACACGCGGTCGTCACGCTCGGCACCAAGGAGATCACATTCAATGCCCCGCTCGCGCGGGTCATACAGAAGCCAGGGGTCAGGTCACCATTCCAGCCAGGGGAGCCACAGAATGGAAACCCATCGGCACCACCATCCCCCTGGCGGGTGGTTCGACGAAGATTATGCACCGTGTTCAACATACACGGGGCATCCAAATATGTATCCACTGCCAATGCAGTCGGCGTCGCCTGCGCAGGCTTTTTTACCACCTGAAAGCCCCTACCAATATCAGCAAGCACATGCGCACCAGCAGTTTCACATGCAACAAGCGCAGATGCAACAAGCGCAGATGCAGCAAGCGGCACAGCTCCAGCAGTTGCAGATGCGGCAGTCGCAAGCGCATCGAAGCATCCAGAGGCACATAGAGGGTCGCCCTGAGCAGTCACAGACTCAGCACTTCGAAGAGCCCTACCAGGACTGCTCAGATCTGCTCAGATCTGCACACTTGGGGAGTATTTGGAGTTGGCTCAGGGTTACCAAAATGTTTCAAAACAGGAGTCCCAGCTCTCGGCGCCCCTGGAGCCAGATTCTCAGCGGTTTTTGCTTCAGGCCTCCGAGAAATACCGAGAAGGGGACGGTGGCAGGATTTTCATGTGACGCTTCGAACCTCCTGAATTGATCTCTTGGACCTTTGCAGAACGGGGCTCCATGAAACCCTGAAATGGGATGTTGGCCATGGCCAGCCTTTCGTTCTTTCAGGCTTGCCGGTAAGGGCAGCCGAGGGCCTATGACGGCGTGGGCTAAGAGTCCCACAAGCACGGGAAGAACCGAAGAACAGCAAGAAGAAGCAACAGCAATGACAGTCACGCCGAAGGGCCAAGGCTGATATGGAACCTGCTTCCGTGTGTCGTGCAGTTTGCCCAATTGCCCAAGTCAAGCCGAGGCCTTTGATTCCAATACCTTTTCAGACACAGAGGCCTGGGGGGCTGCTTCTGGAAACTGAGTAACCCCATGCACATCGGTAGTGTGATGTAGTGCGTTGGGTTGTAAGCTTTATGTAGATGTTGCAGTCAGGGCTCCAGACACCATGGCCGCAAGAATTGCTGCGTGCTTTGCGTGTGGCCCGACAGGATTGTTTTCGAGCTGTGATGTTGCCTCCCCCGACGTTCTTGTGTGTCAACAACACGTGAGATGCTTCATAGGACATCCTTGAGCCCGGCACAAGCTGTGCAGAAACGGGTCGCCTTTTCGAAGAATGACGGATCGGGAGCTGCGACAATCGTCAATATCACGGTTTCATAAACTTTTCAGATCAGCTACTATGCCTGCAAATGAGTCTCCAGCCCCGCGAGTTTGTGTCACCCCAGCATAAGGCTGAGTGTCATTGTGTGCCTCAGTATGGGCCCTGACGCCAGTGTCTAACATCTTAACTCAAAAGCTGTGCTTGGCAGCAAGTGCATGCGCGCAAGCCCCAGATCAGTCAGCCCGTGGAGGCACTCTGGAGGCATCATGAGGAGGCGTCGTGATTCGGAGCTTCTTGCCAGCACTGCAGGACGACAAGGTTACCCCCAGACATCAGTCAATGTCAGAGGTGGGTCTCAGGGCTTCTCAGAACATCGATTTCTGCTTTGCTCCAGTGTGCAGCGCGCAACTCTCATGGTCAGGCTCTGCAGGACCTGGAGGTGTATGAGTGGACGGTCCAAGCCTTACAGCTTCGGACCAGCTGACGTACGCCAGGAGCCAGTTTTGCCAGGCCACTGGCAAGGTTCCTGTGAAGAAGGTGCGGGGCGGCCTTTCAAAAAATCCTGAAGAAGCACACGTGAATCACCGTGAATGTGAGGTCAGGAAGCTCCCTCCGCTCGCTCTCGGCTGAGGTGCTGACGCTTGCCAGATAGTCCCAGCCGATCATTAGATGACAGCTTGCGCCGACCTACTTTCCGTTCTTTGGGGCATATGGACATGCAGATTGTGTGCTGCCAATGGTGCGACTCAACACCCTAAAATACTGGAGCTTCGAAGGGCCCGCTTATTCCTATGTTGTTGTGTGGGCAACTAGCGAGGGGGGGTGTCGCCCGCAGCTGGGGCCACGCCCCAGAGCGACCAGAACAAAGGTATGGGAACTGCTGCAACGACGACGACGACGACAACGACGACGACGACGACGACGACGACGACGAGGACGAGGACGAGGACGAGGACGAGGACGAGGACGAGGACAACGACGACGACGAGGACGAGGACGAGGACGAGGACGAGGACGAGGACGAGGACGAGGAGGAGGAGGAGGAGGAGGAGGAGGAGGAGGAGGAGGAGGAGGAGGAGGAGGAGGAGGAGGAGGAGGAGGAGGAGGAGGAGGAGGAGGACGAGGAGGACGACGAGGACTATGAGGATGACGGGGACGACGAGGACGACGAGGAGGGGTGTTTCTGTGCGGTTTTGGTGTGGGCGAAGCACTTCTCATGCTCGGCTGAACGCAGTGAGTCTGAGACTCTGTAAGGCCAGAGAGCGAGGCGTGCCTGGCTGTGACCTAGCATTCTGACACCCATCCATTGCGTAGAGGGCGTTGTGGGCGGTGGGAGTGGTGGGGGCTGCGGGGGCGGTGAGGGTGTAGGGTTGTGCTGGAGCCCTCCAAAAGCCTCTTTACTCTACTCAAAGTAAAAGGGGCTGACACGGGCTGAAACATCAGCAGCAGCTCTTGGCAGCTCCGGGCTGTTTCGTGTCTTTTTCTCGCACCTGGCAGGCAATGAGAGCATGACATCCATCTCAGTGGTCGCTCAGAGAAGGCTGCAGTTGTGAATGTGACAAGAAACCCACTTAGATGAAGGCTTTGTCCAAAGGACGCCTTTCATCTTGGAGCGAGATTCTTTACAAACTGCCATGAAGGGCGCTTAAAACAGGTGGCATGTCAACAATGTGACATGCTGGCATGAGCAAGGAATCCCGTTCTCTTGTTTCACATGTCATGTGTAGGGCACCGATGCGGCTCGCCATGAGGAACAAATTCGGCTTCCGTGGTTCTGCTGGCAGACGCAGAAGCACACAGCAACATGCAGCAACATTTAGGAAAGTGTAGCAACATGTAGCAGCCCAAAAGAGGCGAAGCTGTAGATAAGGTCTACCATAACCTGAGACCTGAAGCCTTTGTGGGCATCGACAGGCAGCTGCTATAGACAGGTTGTCGCGAACCGGCAGCGCCAGCAGCATCAGCGGCACCCAGCGACTGCCACAACTGCGGTGGAATGAGCTGCTTTAGTGCTGAGTTCAGTTTGGAGGCACAAAGAGCAACCGACGCACGGAAGAAGGCCCAAGGCACGGCCCATATGGCCAAGATACTTTCCCCAGGTCAGGGACAGGGGGCGGGGTACACGGGGGACAAGGTGGAGGGGCCGAGAGCTCGAGGGCCGAGAGCTCGAGGGCCGAGAGCTCGAGGCGTTAGCGTACTAGTGTCACGTACGAGTCATCGCCACTTCATTGGCTCAAACTCTTAAGGCGTGTAGATTCAAGTGAAGTCAGCATGGAGGGCCAAGCCTTGCGCTTATCTTCTGCGCAGGTTGTTGCGCCCTTCAAGGTGTGCTTCGTGCTGTCAGGTACTGTCGTGCACTTTGTCTGTACCGAGGTCATACAGCGACCAGCTGCATCGCTGAACATCTGGTCTTTGCCTCGGAACGGCGGTGCGTCTTTGTGCCCACTGAGAGCTGCGCCCTGTGTCCCTAGAGCCACAGCAGAGACAACTGTTAAAGTGTCAATTGAGTCATTCTGGAGTCATTCTTGAGCTGTCCCCTTTTGCCGTGTGAACGAGACCAAGGGCCATTGGCCAGGGCTTTGAGGGCACAGCTTCCGACTGGACTGAGTCGCTTGCCAAGCAGTCGTAGGCACCACGTTCTAATCCGTTCTACGTCTCAAGATCACAGAATTGATGAAGGCAACCGCAGGTGAGCACACCACATACCCCACATGGCTCAAGGTACATCGTCTGGCTTGTGGGCTTCATCGCGCTGATCTGGTACTTCGGTGGCAAGGGTTCCGTTGCAAGGGCGCAGTTGCAATGTTGCACACGCGGCTGTCTCATCTTGCTCCGTCAAAGGTTCATTTGGCAGAGGAATGCACGAGCCTAAGATCCAGCGACTTTCAATATGCGGGAAAGCCTCGTGTCCACGTTCCCTCGGCAGACGTCATTGCGTGCCTGCAGTGTGGCACTTGGAGGTGATGGCCCTGCCTGACATCCCAGCATCGGAGCTTGCCGGAAAGGCTCCTTCGGCTGAGATCAAAGGAAGCACAGGATGCAGAGAGTTCTGTCTGCGAGGCTGCGCAGGATTGAATGCAGATGAACGGTGACGCAGCTGCGGTTAGTGACGGTCCGTGCGATTGGTGACGTTTGCCATGGCTTCCTGAGTGCGATGCGAAGAGGTCAAGTTCAGCCAGGAGGTTTGCCATGGGGACCAGGCGTGACTTTGGTCATTTTGGTTCCATTGCTTCGAACATTCGAACCACCGGGGTGGTACAGCATGGTACAGCTTGCAACCTTGCAGCAGCTACAGCAGCGCATCACAGGATCCCAAACGTCATTGCACATGCTGCATTCAACCCATGGTCTGAAGTCTGCACCGTGGTCTGAAGTCCGAAGTCCATGACATTGGAGGTCAAACAGTGGGGGCCCAGTGCCCTACAGCCTCCTGGGGGGAACAGAAAGAACACGCGCAAGAAAGCGCACGTGAGCCAAAAGCAGCGCCGGGAGGTGTGGGAAGAGGGCGATTCCCCCCCCCCCCCCCCCCCCAAGAAGTGCAACCCAAGTGGGACGCAAGCGCTGAAACGTGACGGAGGGACTTCAGCAGTCACAGGCCGCAGGCGTGTGAGGCGAGGAGAAGTCGCAGCTTACCCGCAGCTGTAGGCAACCTCAACGCCTATCCGCCAGCTCCGCAAGCCATGATGGGCTTCCAGTGGTCCTGGCATGTTAATCAACTTATTCATGTTATATCAAAACAACGCCAATTGAGTCTTTTAGGGTGCCCAATGGAGTCAACGCAGTACATGGCAGGCCTTCAGTGCAACCAGGCCATTGTTCGAGTGCCAGACTAGTCATGCGGCTGTCCTGTGTCTCGTTGTGAGGCATCGCCGATGGAGGTGTGGTCTCGTGGTCAGCTTCTGATTTGTCAGTCATGGCCCTCGAAGGGCACTCTCGCTTGGCAGGCTGTGGGATGTCCTTCCAAAATACGATGCCTGGAATGCCTGGTGTCGTGTGCTTGGATGATCGAAAGAAAAGTGATACATGGTGAAGTATTGTGACATGATACTCTGCCCGTCTGTGAAGTGTTCCGTTGTGAGGTTCAGGGCATGCCTGGCCTGAGCACAGGCTGCAGTAGCCATGTTTCTTGCATCGCAAGTGCAAGTTCAGTGCCCTGCATTGTGCTGTGCAGAGGCTCCCCAGCAGAGGTGCAGCAGCAAATGATGCTGCTCATGCAGCAGCAGCAGCAACAACAGCAGCAACAGCAGCAGCAGCAGCAACAGCAGCAGCAACAGCAGCCGCCGCCGGCACCTTAATATTATGTGGCTGCCAGTGTCGTGTGGTCACAGCGCTGACATGCTCCTTTGCTGCTCTCTTCTGTGGCATGTCACTTGTTGCGGCAGTCCTCCACTTCTTCACTTCTCAGGACGCCTGCTGTAGACAAAGACCAGCAGGCTTGCAGCTTTGCTTTCCTCGCTTGCTTTGCCGTCTCGTTTTCCTGGTTGGAGGCGTTTGGTCTGGTCGCTGGTTCGCTGAGCTCTGCAGAAAAGGAGCCAATACCCAAGTTGTACTGCACGATGCTCCATGGTGACTGCAATTCATCTCTCTCTCTCTCTCTCTCTCTCTCTCGCTCTCTCTCGCTTTCTCGCTCTTTTTCTCTCTCTCACTCACTCAGTGCCTTGAATAATTCAGGTACTACACCACCCTTTGGAGCATGGCCTGCACAAGTGGAGAAGTGCTGGGTGGAAAGGACCATTGCCCCACAAACACTGAAGTCTTCACGTGCAGTGTGCTGCGCCTTTGCGTGCGCCTTTGCGTGCGCAGGCTGCCTTTGACTTCCTTTCCAAATCGCAGCTGCCGCGCGAGGTCGTTTTCCTGCAGGGCCTGCAGGGGGGGGGCTCTTTTCCGACCAGAAGCTTTGTCTGCCCAGATCTTGAAACGGATTTGGGACATCTCCGACCGGCAGAAGCGCGGTCTCGGATGGGAGGCGAGTCCCCGCCTACTTCTAGCCGCTTCTTCCCATATCATTGCAGTTTCGGAATGAGTTGTCCTGCTCACGTCGTTGCTATGGTGAACGGTAACGTGGACATGATGGTCACCATGTGCTGGAACTAACTCAGCATGACTGCCGTTGCTTCCATTTGTTGGTGGTGGTCTTCTTGCTTGCTAGGTGCGGTGTTGTGAAATTGAGTAGATCAGGTCTATTCTTTGGATTCATATTTCTTGCGCTAAATCATACAATTGCACGTGTTATGTTCGTTCATTACGAATTGCAATTGGATGAAATTACCTTACCATTGAAATCGTTTGTATTGATAGTTTTTGGGTTTCGCTTAGAGATGTTGAATCGCAAGTTGCTTCTTAGGAGAAACTGAGCCTCACAAGATTTCCATCGTGTTTGTCGGCTGCATACTCTGGAGAACATATGGTTGCCAGCACTCAGCCAAGCCACAACCTCACTTTGATGGCAGTGAATGGCCGCCGCTCGAAGATGAAGTTTCCTGGCGTAGAGGCAGTTCCATTTCTGAGCGGCAGAACTGGCTCAGTGTCTTATAAACGAGAGGGAAGGCAATTGCAGGCACAAGAAGTCGGGCTTGTCGCCGCTTCTCCACGCTAAGAATTGGGCAGAGCAGAGGTCGGGCACAAATCCGGCGGGGTCATGGGCGACCGCTCTCGAGACAATCCGTGGGCGGTCATTGGTTTGGCATGCTTTGTTGCTGAAACACATAAGATGCAGTGCCGGGAAGTGCAACATCGCGATGCCACATCGGCTTCTCGTGCACTTAAGAGCTGGCAGAACTCGCTAGAGCCGGGCAGAGAGCGCGGAGAGGAGTTCGTGGTGACCATGAAGTTGATCTCGGCTGCGCAGAAGAAGCGTTGGCCTCAGCAAAGACTTTTTCTAAGAAGGAGAAGTGTTTCTGCAGGCAACCCATACGTGCGAGAGCATGAAGAGTTTGAGTTGATGTTTGAGTGTGGCAGGCAGCTGGTCTCTTTGGAGCGGGTGCTGGAAACTACCGGGCCCACCTCGAGGGACACTGCTGCAACTGTCACGCCGTGACACGGGAATCCGGTGACGTGATATGCTGTGAGTTGCTTTGGCATGCTTGTTGCGTTTCAGCCGTTTCAGCCGTTCATTTTCAACAACTTCAGCAGAGGAGAAATGGTTGCTAGTAGCTGCTGGCGTAACCTGAAAGCGTGTCTTGTGCGGACGCATTGAATCTTTCCAGTCAAGCTTTCTACACAAGCCCTTTAAAAAAAGGAAGCACGTTCCAGCCGCTTTGTGCGGCTTTGTGTTCCGAATGGGAGTCTGTACGTCCGGCCTGAGCTACTGGCAACTATCTCAGACACGCAGATTTTTTCATGGACGACTGAAGGTTTGCAAAGAGTCTCCGAGGTATACCCTGCCTCCGTGGTATGAGAAAGGCTAGAGTCTCTTGCTTGCACAGTGGTGCTTGCGTAAAGCAAAAGCATGAAAGGTCATGGGGATGTGGCTGTGCAGACGAGTGCCTTGGCGAACAATTGGATCGCTTTCGGATCGTTCTTGGAGAGTTTTCACTCGAAACTGAGGCCCGTCCAGGCCCAAGCTCGTGACCCGCGGAAAGCAGGCAAGAGGGTCATGCCAGCAACATGCGACTTTTTGCACTACGCGACAAAGAAACCGAGAAACCACGACTTACGACTTGAGGCGCGGATGGGGGGTCCAGTTGCCACTTGCAGATCTTGCCATCGACAAACGCAGGTCCATGGCTTGAATGTGCCACTGTGCCTCTGCACATCTGTCTCAGCACAGCACGGCAGAGGCGTTGCTGTCTTGCTGTGGCGTTGTGAGGAGCTGGCGAGAAGTAAAGGTGATCGGCTGCTCTGCCCAGTGCCGAGAGATGCCGAGAGATGCCGAGAGAGGCCGAGAGAGGCCGAGAGAGGCCGAGAGAGGCAAGTATGCGGCGAGTTTCCTTTCGCATTTTTTTCGATCCCGAGGTCGCCCCTGCGTTCGAGCCGAGGATGAAGGGGAGATGGCACCATTAACACCCGAGGAGCAGCATGAGGCTTAAAGAGATTCAAGACTCACTCGAAGTCGTGCAGAGTCCAGCAGAGTCTAGCAAGGTCGCTGGTCGCTTTAGGTGGTCTTTTCTGAACCTTTCAGAAGTCTTTCAGCTATCCACATTCTCCTGTTTTTCGTTGGTCATTAGCACGGTTCCTTGAGGCTCTCACATGCCTCACTGGGCAACGGAACTAACAACATTCAGCCAGGCCCTGACACGAGTAGCGTTGGTGCGGGGGTGTTGGAGGCCGTTGGTGGGCGTCATGAGCATTACTGAGTCGCTTCGAGCAGCAAGGGAAAGGCTTGACGAAGGCTGCGGCAAGTGTTCGGGAACTTGAAAAACATCAAAAGCTGTGCTTGTAGCACGCTTGAAGTCCAGGAGGGTGCGGGCGGGGGGGCAGGGATCCGCGACTTGCGTGCGCACAGACTCGGAGCGCCGATTATCAGCACGACCAGCTTCGGTGCTCCGGATAAGCTTTGTCGTTTGGGTATGCCTTGTTTTCGCAATTCCATTTGAAAGTGAGCGTCATCGTGACATTGAATATATCATAGTACCTCGAGCGCTGAGGAATGGGCTCGATCTTGTGCAGTGGCCCCGATTCTGTTTTTCACCACAACTTCTCTCGTGCACGGATTGAGCGGACAGGTCTTCTGTTTTGGACTCTGTTCCGTGGAGTTACTGGAAGCTCATGCCCTAATCGCCTGAGAGGAGAGCTGACGAAGTTGTGAGAAGAGAGCTTCCGCTACAAGTTATCACGAGCCCCTCTCGTCAGCTTAGGCCAGGAGAGCAGCCAGCGAGGAGAGCCAGTGTATATAGGTGAGCTTTCAGAAATATTCAGAATATGTGATCAGCATGTGCAGCCGGGACCAGTTGGCAGAGTGCAGGTAGGTGCAGGATGCAGGTGTGGGTCAGGCAGCAAATTCCTTGGACAGCTGCAGCTCGCCCAACTGCAGCCACAATCCTGTGGGGGAACGATGAGAATGCCTAGTTCAAGATGTCACTTGAGCAGTTGAGGGCTCGTCTTGTCTCCTGACTACGAAAAGTCGCAAAGTGGGAAGCCCTTCTTACAGCTTCGAGGGTGGGCTGGAGACTCTCTTGGCGCTCTCTGACCCGTGGGGGGGGGGGGGGGGAAGTGGGAGAGGAAATGGAAGAGGAAGTGGGGGAGTAAGTTTAAAGTTTAGAGTGCACAGCGCGGCTTTCCAAAAGCTGCCTTTGCTTTCGATGCCGATGCTGTGTCCGAGCGGTGTTTCCAAAATGTGTCGGCAGGATTTTGGATTGGCTCTTTTTGGGAGACCTTGCCGATGCCACTGACCTGGAGCTGCTTGAGCAGCGGCGCATACAAGGCGTTTTAAACCTTATCGGCAGGGTGCCCAGTCCCTCTCCATATTCTCTTTCTTCCCTTTGTTCTCTTTATTCTCTTGCTATGTTCTTCTTGCATCTTTCAGTCGCGTCGTTTCCAAGGCTGGTGGGAGCTGGAAGCGCTGCTACCCGAGGGGACAGACCTGGTGACGCTCTTCAATCAGTACGACATCGAGTACAAGGAAGCTGACTCTGAGGACAGGCTTTTCTTCGATATTATCGCAACTTCCTGGCCATCTGCCGACCGCTTCTTGCAGAAGTGTCGCAGCGAAGGACGCAAAGTGCTGGTGAACTGCCAAGCTGGCCATAACAGATCAGCCTGCATTATGATATGCTGGCTGATCGTGCGCGAAGGCTTCTCTCTCCTGGGAGCCTTGGAGCACGTGCAGAAGCTTCGCGGGACGGTGCTGTCGAATCATGGATTCCGCCTGCAGCTGGTCCGGCTGGCCCTAAGGCTCGGCAGACTCGGCGAGCCGGGCGAAGGAAGAGAGCAGGAGCGGGAGCCTAGGGAACCCAGGGAATCCATAAACCCAAGAAACCCAAGGAACCCTCGAAGCTTTAGAGACCCTGTCCCAGAGACAGAGATGCAAGATGGCCTGCAGAAGATCATCAACACCAAGCGGCTGAGCATCAAGTACGGTCACAACTCCAGAGACTGGATGGCGCAATCACCCGTGCTAGCGCAGCGGAAGTCCGTGATTTCTGACGAAGTGAGCGGCCTGATCAGCCAACGAAAGCTGTCTCTGGAGCTTGTTGCGTGTCTGACACATTGGAACAAAAACTTTCTCGACCACTACGAGTACACAGCGGATCCACCAGTTGTAGTCGGGCGTGGCTTTAGTGGAGATGTAGTGCTGTGCCAGCGGCGTAATGCACTGGATTTTGGAGGAAGGCCACAAAACAGCTTACGGTGTGTCAAGCGCTTCAACCTGACCTCCATGAAGTCAGATCATATGGAGAAGTTGAAGAACGAGGCAGTCATCTACCTGTCGCTCGAACATCCGCACATTGCGCGTCTCTTTGATGTCTACGAAGATGATGAGGAGCTAAGCCTCGTAATGCAGTACTGTGGCGGCGGTACACTCCAAGACGTCTTGCGGAGCAAGGGCCCTTTCTCAGAACCAGACTTTAAAGAAGCGTCGGTGCAAATGCTGCGGGTCTTGAAGTACATACATCGTGCTGGCATCGTGCATCGCGATATCAAGCCACGGAACTGGGTCTATGAAGCCGAGCGAAGCATCCTGAAGCTGATCGACTTTGGCTTTTCGGCGCGGTTCTCAGACTGCCGTCTACTTCGTTATTTTTTTCACCACTTGTTTCTGTCTCATGTGACTTGTTGCTCTAGCCATGTCTTGCGATTTTGAATGGCTGACTTCGTCTGACCACTGTCATCTGAGTCATCTGGCATTGCGTGCACCAAAGCTTTGGTGCTTGTCTGGTGCACCCTTAATCGTCATCGAAGCTTACCGTTCGCACGTAAACAACCGCTCCTCAACAACACACCCACATTTTCATCTCCACCATACTGATAGTTTCAGCACCTTCCCAGCCGTGCGGGAAGATCAAACCAAGACTAGGTGAGGGACGCGTTTTTCGCATATGCTGCGAAGGTGCGAACAAGTTGGCAGCTACCGGCAGTCGAAGGGCGTAAGGCATGTCGTGCTACCCAGGCATCGACAACTGCGACGGCAGAATTTCAGCACTACATAACACTATGACTGACGAGTTGACGCAGAGATGTCTTGACACGAAGAAGTGACTCCGAAGCAACATCTGTGGGGAAATGTTGCAGTCCAGCTACTGTCACTACGGCGTACGCCGACATGCGCCATGTCAAGGGCGCCAGCTTTAAATGCCGAGAAATGTTAATGCGGTCGTCAAGGCAGACTCGGAACACCAGGTGCATCGTGTGCACTGATTTAGCAATGGACACACTCAGTGTGTCATGGGCTGCTAAGGCCAAATGCTTGATCCTCGAAGGACTTGCGACATCTAGAGCGTTGAGGGCCACGGGAGTCATGGGCAACGAGCACAACTTTGCAAGCTAGGAGACGGGGCAAACCGAGTCGAGGCGTGCAAGGACCTGAGTCTGTGTCTTTCGCGTGAAGCTTCCCTCAATGTCCCGTTCTGGACCGAGGCTCGCAGTTGAAGGGCTGCCTCGGTACGCTGGGATACTTGGCACCAGAGGCCCGCAGCTCTGCTCTGCCGCAGCAAGCTCCCTTGGGCCTCGATTTCTGATCTCGCGACTTTGCACAGGTTATCAGCAGCGCGGCTTCCTCTGAGGCCTGCCTTCCTCGCTGCGTGTTCTCTTGCATACATCTTTAATCTGCTTGGCGCAGAGAGAGATCGAGAGAACATGTCAAGGCTCGAGACGGGCTCGACCTCCCCCTCAAAGAAGACATCAGGAGGGAATCCGGGAAAGCCTCAAAGCCGACCCAAAGACCTGTGGATCAGTGGGAGAAGTCCACGCGCACGGATGCTAACCCGCCTAATCAGCATGTTGAGCCGCCCAACGTTCTGCGCAATATTCCAGCGCACCTTCACCAGATCCTTCAGTTCTGAGTGTTTCTTCGTCATAAACTCAAAACTGACCAACGCCAAGCCAAATGCCACGACCCTCTGCTTACATGAA